GATACAGAACAGTGAGCGAACGGAAACTGGGGGTGACAACACTGCTCTTCCAGATACAGAACAGTGAGCGAACGGAAACTGGGGGTGACAACACTGCTCCTCCAGATACAGAACAGTGAGCAAACGGAAACTGGGGGGGTGACAACACTGCTCCTCCAGATACAGAACAGTGAGCGAACGGAAACTGGGGGGTGAAACTGGGGGGGTGACAACACTGCTCCTCCAGATACAGAACAGGGGGTGACAACACTGAGATACGAACGGAAACTGGGGGTGACAACACTGCTCCTCCAGATACAGAACAGAGAGCGAACGGAAACTGGGGGTGACAACACTGCTCCTCCAGATACAGAACAGTGAGAGCGAACGCGAAACGCTCTTCCAGAAAGAACAGTGAGCGAACGGAAACTGGGGGTGACAACACTGCTCCTCCAGATACAGAACAGAGAGCGAACGGAAACTGGGGGTGACAACACTGCTCCTCCAGATACAGAACAGAGAGCGAACGGAAACTGGGGGGTGACAACACTGCTCCTCCAGATACAAAACAGAGAGCGAACGGAAACTGGGGGTGACAACACTGCTCCTCCAGATACAAAACAGAGAGTGAACGGAAACTGGGGGTGACAACACTGCTCCTCCAGATACAGAACAGAGAGCTAACGAAAACTGGGGGTGACAACACTGCTCCTCCAGATACAAAACAGAGAGCGAACGGAAACTGGGGGTGACAACACTGCTCCTCCAGATACAGAACAGAGAGCGAGCGAACGGAAACTGGGGGTGACAACACTGCTCCTCCAAATACAGAACAGTGAGTGAACGGAAACTGGGGGTGACAACACTGCTCCTCCAGATACAGAACAGTGAGTGAACAGAAATTGGACAGAAAAGTGGCAGGATCACCAGGTAAAACTAGAGGAAAAGACTGAAAAAAATGAATTCATCCACCATATGTGAATACTGGCAGGTTGCAATAGAGTTTTGTTCCTGGGTTTAGATACACTTAAACCAGTCTTCCTTCTTTCAGATCTCCTTTCGCTAAAACATACTATTGCACTGCTGTAGAATGAATGCAAGAATAACCAAAAAATAAAAATGTAATATATTGCAGCTTACCAATCCTTAGATGTGGCAGCTGCATTTGTTTTCTTTTTGCCCTTTACTGTTGTCACCTAGTAATCTAGCCAGAAACACGTCATTGTCTTAGAATGTTTCCACTTTGGATGGCGATGCAATGGAGACACCTTTGGACAGCAACATTGTCAATCTGTGGGATGTTGATCTGTAGATGTACTCCAGCTCACAGTTTATAAGCAGTTACAGTAACAGTTTTGTTCCTTTTGGAATTAAGGTATTTGCATAAAATATTAAAAGCTGACCATTGTAAACACCCTTGTCTGTATCAAATGGTTTGTCTGAACCCTCATTTTTGCTGGACAGCTTGTTCTGTTAAAGTGATAGCAAAGTGACTTTTTTTTTTTATACCTACAGATAAGCCTATAGTAAGGCTTTCCTGTAGATCACGGGTGTCAAACTGGCGGCCCTCCAGCTGTTGCCAAACTACAAGTCCCATGAGGCATTGCAAGATTAACAGTTATAAGCATGACTCTGAAAGGCAGAAACATGATGGGATTTGTAGTTTCGCAACAGTTGGAGGGCCGCCAGTTTGACACCCCTGCTGTAGGTACAGTAGATATCTCCTAAATGTGCACTGTTTAAGAGATATTTACTTTTGCAGCGCTGGTGTTGTCACTAGCACATGCACACTGCGCTCTCAATGGACGTCCATTGAGAGAGTCGTGTCACAGCCGATCCTCCCGCACGCATGTGTGGGAGTGACGTCATCGCGGCTCAGCCAGTCAAACGGCCACAGCCCACAAACCCAGAAGGAGTACCAGGTGAGGATGGAAGCCCCTAGGAGTCATGACAGCACTCCACTGGAGGGCCTCATGTTCAAGTAAGTCTTTAATAGCATGCAATGCATACTAGCACATTATGCTCTTAACTTGCAGATTTCTTTGCTTTTATGTTTTGCAGTTTACTATCGCTTTAAGGGCTAATTCACACCAGATGCAGTCCAGTGCGTTTTTTTTTTTTTTTCATCAAAAATGCATGCACTGTGTTTTCCATGTATTCCACTGGCCCTAGTTCACACTAGTGCAGTAAGTTTCTGGTGCGGGGGAAAAAAAAAAAAAAAGTAAACATGCTGCATTTTTCAGCACAGAACTGTACTGGGTCATAGCAACTGCACTGAAATGGAGCGTGGTGTGAACTGTAAGCAAAAAGGTAGGCAGAGAGCATTTTTGTGGTGTGAACGAGCCCTAAAGGAAGTTGAAAAATAACAGACTTACTGGCCAGATCACCAGGTGGAAAAAAAAAAAAAAAAGAGAAAAAAAGTTTTAAAAAAATGAGAACTAATGCTGCCATCGCATTTAAAATGGAGAAAAACTATTTAAAATACTCAACTCCATAGAGGAGATAGGAGCAATAGTTACACCTCCTACCAGCTGCTGTCATCTTCTCCCCAAGCTATTTGTGGGTGCTGGGATTTTGGCCTCTTTAGGCCTCATGCACACAGGATATTATAAAAATGCCAGTAGCGTTAGCTGTACAATGCTGCAATGAAAATGTGCGTTTTCTCGCAGTTTTTAGCATTCTTGCATTCACTTTAAGCGTTTTTTAGCATTTGGGTTTTTTAGCAAAGCTTTACTCCCACAAAATCTTCAGGCTCCAAAACGCTGGACAGCCGCATTTTTCAGCTTTTATCAGTGTTGCAGCATTTTTACAGCTAAAAAAAAAACTCTTCTTGAAACCCACTAGTTCTGCATTTTTTTCCACCCAGAAAACACTGATTAAAGCCTATGTGTGCATGAACACACAGATAACATGCTGGGGGGTTTACTGGCTGTAGAAAAAAAAACACCAGAAGCCAAAAGCAGCAGCTGTAAAAACGTCCAGTGCGCATGAGGACTTACTGGCCAGGGATAGGATGACATCATTCTGCACATGTGCCTGTGAGTAAGTTATAATGATACAGGCAGAGTGTGCCAGCATTGCACATGCGCAGCTCAGCGTACATTGATTAGAAGACTGAACAGGCACATAAGTGCATGCTGTTGCAGAAGAGACATAGGTTTCTCCTGCAATAAAGTGCTGCCTACTCACCCGCAGACCTGCATTCCGGACCTTCATCCCTGAACACACAGGGCCTTAGGGCAAGCCAGAGATCATTTGATTTCCTTTCCGGCAACCTGTGGTTGCAGGAAAGAAAAACGCATGTTTTCCCCATCAACACAGTCAGTGTTGATGGGGGAATCCCTCCTGCAATGCTATTGTATTCTGCTGATGGGAAGCCTTCCCTGCACACAGAACACAAGGATCACTGCTGGAAGCTAAAGCTGCATGCAGAAAAAATCCAACAGACTGGTTGTAGTGAGGTTGATCAATGGATTGACCTCAGTACAACCAGCCTGCCCAGAGATGGATTGAAACTTGGCTGGTTCAGCATGGATTTGACCCATCTACGGCCAACTTAGATGCAAGTACCACTTTGTACAGCCTTCACCCAGCCAGCCTTCAGCCCAGCCTTCATAGCCTTCCAGCGTACCACTCGGTACAGCCTTCAGCTGCAGCCTTCCAGCGTACCACTCGGTGCAGCCTTCAGCCCAGCCGCAGCCTTCCAGCGTACCACTCGGTGCAGCCTTCAGCCCAGCCGCAGCCTTCCAGCGTACCACTCGGTGCAGCCTTCAGCCCAGCCGCAGCCTTCCAGCGTACCACTCGGTGCAGCCTTCAGCCCAGCCGCAGCCTTCCAGCGCACCACTCGGTGCAGCCTTCAGCTCAGCCGCAGCCTTCCAGCGCACCACTCGGTGCAGCCTTCAGCTCAGCCGAAGCCTTCCAGCGCACCACTCGGTGCAGCCTTCAGCTCAGCCGAAGCCTTCCAGCGCACCACTCGGTGCATCCTTCAGCTCAGCCGCAGCCTTCCAGCGCACCACTCGGTGCAGCCTTCAGCTCAGCCGCAGCCTTCCAGCGCACCACTCGGTGCAGCCTTCAGCTCAGCCGCAGCCTTCCAGCGCACCACTCGCAGCCTTCAGCCAGCCGCAGCCTTCCAGCGTACCACTCGGTGCAGCCTTCAGCCCAGCCGCAACCTTCCAGCATCAGGATCAGAAGTTGCACCTGTTCCTCCCAGGCGACACTGAAACACCAGGAAGGACGCACTGCAACAAGATGGACCTGTGTGCAAGTGGCCTTACGGTCTATACTTTAGAAGAGCTTACGCCTATTCTTTGGAAGAGATTGCATTGTATGCTCCATCAACTTACCAAAAGACATCAATTTCCAATAAAAAAAAACTATTTCTTTAATGATCATAAGGCTGATGAAGCAAACTCCCAGTGGAAGCTGTATTCACTCCTCTACTAGACTGAGCAGACAGCATGGGCAGAAACTATGGAGCATTCAATAGAAAGTAGTCAGAACAAGTGACGTCATGGGATGGGTCATGGGATGGCGCCATGGCACACATCATTGACACAGATGGCCAGGATTTCTTGTTTATTTCTATTTTTGCATTCCGGCACAAGGTGACAGGGTATATTTTGGTGTTGATTCCAATATTGACCAGTTAGACTATATCATGTAATTTAAAGAGGACCAAATTCTGCCCATGTCAGTGCTATGAAATCAATCTGAAGTCACACAGATGGATAAGACATTGACATGATCAGGTCAATAAACAGAAAAAGTGATGTCCTTCCTGCCATGGACATAAATCATGAGAGGAATGATGACAGCAGAGCCTGGCATGTGTGCTCCATCCCAACTACATCGCACAGGAGATGGAGGGGGCACTGCCAGGGAAGGTGATGGCTCTTACTACATGCTATGATGGAGCACAGCCCACATATGTACACACACATCAGGACATGGTTCCTCTATCCGGCATCACTGAGAACACACACTGCCCCCTATGACACAAACCCTGCACACACCATACCTACATTGTACATCTCTTCTATTCCCGAGGCGACAGCTGGGCTCCAAGTCGGGAAGATCCCGGGAAAACTTCCGGTTCCGGAGCTCACGGGCTCCGAGCGGACAGATCGGCGAGAATCTCAACACGCATGCGTGCCAATCTCCAGCCGCCGTACAGTTGCCCCGCCTACGGTGTAGCCGTGATATGATCATTACGCATGCGCTGCTGTGCCATACCTTCCCACAGAAGCTGCTGTATATAGCGGAGTCCCGTGCTTGAGTAGTTGTAGTAGTGTGTGTGGACTGTGGAGTGTTCGTCGTCTCCAGGGCAACAGACGAGTCCTCGGAGTCTATGAGTTTGTGTATTGTAAACTTCAAGAAAGAACTGTTTTCTGACATACTCTATATTACCTGGACATTATTATTATACAGGATTTATATCACGCCAACAGTTTGCTCAGTGCTGTACAATATAAAGAGAAACAATACAGCTCAATACAAGAAGGTTAGGAGGGCCGGGGTGACTGACCATTTGGAAACTCCGGCACTGCCCAGGGCCTGGGTCAGTAGGGGGCCCCATGAGATGCCCCTGGTACCTTTTTCATAGGCTTTTTTGAGTTTGGGCAAGGACACAGGGCCCCCATGATCCCCTATTGCCCGGGGGCCCCATGAGTTTTCAGTCCACCCCTGGGAGGGCCTTGCTCCTTGGAGCTTACAATCCACCAAAACATACCAAAATGGTGGTATGCGTTTTCTTGGAAATGCATGGCGTGTTTTTATCATGCGTTTATTGCATTAAAATCAAGACGACATATACAGAATTGATAAAAACTCATTTTGCTGAAGGGTCTCCTGTGTGTTCTAAAAGTGAAGCAGCATGCAGCAAATTTAAATGAAAATACAGTTCATAACTTACAAAAGTGGAGCTAATTAACCTCTTGGCACCGAGTGCACGTATATGTGGCCTCCCGGCGGTTGCACCATATTTGCGTGCCCATTGTAAATAGAAGATGTGCTGAGAGCACGCTCCCAGCACATTTGTCTCACGGAAAGGTCCTGATCGCTACTTGCAGTCGGGAGCTTTCCAATCATGTGACAGCCAATCCCGGCGCAAGTGTACAATCAGGGGCGTCCCTAGGTACGTGCGGGGGGTGCGTACCACACTGGGTGACACCTATTGCATGGGGTGACACCAGACCTGCTCCATGAAAAGGTAAGTTTTAAAGCGAGCCGATGATCCCCGCAGGATGGATCAGATCTGCGGATTGAGAGTAATGGATCGGAGTCCGATCCAATATCCTCCCCAATCCGCAAATCCGATCCATCCTGCGGGGATCGTCGGCTTGCAACCTATACAGGGTTAACTGATCTCTCCACGAAAAAGGTAAGTTTTAAAGCAAGCCTATGATCCCCGCAGGGTTGAGCATAATAGATCTGACTCTGATCCATTATGCTCCCCAATCCACAGATCCGATCCATCTTGCGGGAATCATCGGCTTGCTTTAAAACGTATCTTTTCGTAGAGCTCGTGGAGAGATCAGTTACCGCCATATAGGTTGCAAGCCGACGATCCCCGCAGGATGGATCGGATCTGCGGATTGGGGAGGATAATGGATCAGACTCCGACCCATTGTGCTCAATCCACAGATCCGGAGGGGGTGTCACCAAGTGTTACCGCACCGGGCGACACCAACCCTAGGGACACCACTGTTTACAATCCAAACGCACACGTTCCTGCGATAAAAATGGCTGTGTGTATAAATTGGTGTTGCAGCGACCGGCGGCTGGAACCGAACAGAATCAGCAAGGGAGAATGTCACATGTGACCACATTCCTGATGAAGGGGTCCTGCGAGACTCCGAAACGTTGCCTTGCTGTAACTATGTGATCTTTCATTAAAACGTCTGGACCCATGTTGGTGATCCTCGGTGTGCTGGTGACATTCTCCCTAGGCACTCACGGCATTCACATGACACTAAATCCGACCTCCTGGCATCACAATCCCCTTAAAGGGCTGGAAGGTGCTGGCACCGAAGGGTTAAGACTCTCTTGGCGTACAGAGATAGACCTTAACACGGACAGATTTTGGAAAAGTGTCTCATGCATTTTAAAAATGGAGCAGCATGCGTCAAATTCATGTGCCTGTCTAGAATTTGTATTTCAGTTTGGCTCATGTTGCGCCACTTCTAGAATGCATCAGAGATACTTTTGCAAAATCTGTCTGCACTGAGGTCGTCTCTCTGTACGACAAATGAGAGCTGCTCTTCACCACTTCAGGTCCGGAAGATTTTATCTTTAAGACCAGGACATTTTTTTCTTTTTGGCAATGCTATCTGACAATTGCACGGTCATGCAATGCTGTACCCAAACTACATTTGGAAAAAAACATTTCACACAAATAGAGCTTTCTTTTGGTGGTATTTGAACACTGCTGGGTGCTTTATTTTTTGTTATAGAAACGGAAAACCAAAAATGAAAATTTTGACCAAGAAATCCTTTTTACTTTCTGCTATAAAACATATCCAGTATAAAAATATAAAAAATAAAATTTTGTCATAAATGTAGGCCAAAATGTATTCTGCTACATGTCTTTGGTAAAAAATAAATCCCAATAAGTGTATATTGATTGGTTTGCATGGAAGTTATAGCGTCTACAAACAATAGTACATATACTGGAATTGTTTTTATTTTATACTAGTAATTGCGGTGATCAACGACTTTCAGTCGGTGATCAGGGACTGTGATAGTGAGGCGGGCAATCTGACACTGACTAACTGTAGGGATTGCGGTGATCGGGGACTGTGATAGTGAGGCAGGCAATCTGACACTAACTGACACTTAGTGGGAACTGACTAACTGCCACTGACAGCAGTGACACTAATACAGTGATCAGTGATAATACTATACACTGTCACTGTACTAATAACCCTGGCTGGGAAGGGGTTACTATCTCCGATAATCAAGGGTTTACCCTCTTGTATTGAACTGTATTGTTGCTGGATTGTCTCCCTTTATATTGTAAAGTGCTGAACAAACTGTTGGCGCTATATAAATCCTGTATAATAATAATAAATGTACCTAACAAGTGTTAATGTGTGTAACGTGCTGGTTTTTACTTAATATCTCTTTGTTTCTTTTCTCTGCTTTGCTTCCAAGCTGGAAGTTGGAAGAAATGGATTGAGCCATTCCCTAAGTATACATCTTCCTATTGTTATTAAACATACAGATGAATACATCTTGAGACCCCCAATCTTCTTTGCTGCAACAAAGGACAATGAAAACAATGGTCCAGAGCTTTGTACAAGTTTATAGATCTGTATTAACCACTTGCCTACCAGGCACTTATGCCAATTTTCAGCTTTCAGCGCTGCCGCACTTTGATTGACAATTGCGCGGTCATGCAACATTGTACCCATATGAAATTTTGATCATTTTTTTCTCACAAATAGAGCTTTCTTTTGGTGGTATTTAATCGCCACTGGGCACTTTACTTTTTGCGCTATAAATTAAAAAAAGTGCAAAAAATTTGGAAAAAAAAAAAAAAGTTTCTTTGTTTCTATTATAAAATTTTTCAAACAGGTATTTTTTCTCCTTCACTGATGTGCGTTGATGAGGCAGCACTGATAGGCGGCACTGATGGGCACTGATAGGCAGCACTAAAGGGCACTGATAGGCAGTACTAATGAGGTGGCACGGATAGGCGGCACTGATAGACAGCACTAATGAAGTGTCACGGATAGGCGGCACTGATAGGTGACACTGATGATGGGTACTGATAGTCGACACTGACTGGCATCACTGCTGGGCACTGACTGGCGGCACTGACTGGCACAACCCCTGGGCACTGACTGGTGGCACTGACTGGCAGCACTGCTGGGCTGCACTGGTGGGTGGTGGGTGGGCACAGGTGGGTGGCACTGGTGGGCACAGGTGGGTGGGCACAGGTGGGTGGCACTGCTGGGCACAGGTAGGTGGCACTTCTGGGCACAGGTGTGTAACACTGCAGAGTGGCACAGGTGGGTGCACTGCTGGGCACAGGTGGGTGATCTGCTGGGCACAGGTGGGCGGAGCTAGTGGGCGCACTGCTGGGCACAGGTGGGCGGAACTTGCGGGTGGCATTGCTGGGCACCGATCATCAGGGCACTGATCATCAGTGCCCTGATGATCGGTGCCGATCCCCGCTCTGACAACTGCCGGTTCTCGGCAGTACTTTCCTCACGATCTGACAGCGTGAGGAAAGTGCAGCCGAGAACCGGCCCTTGCATTTCCCTGTGATCAGCGTGTCATTGGACACCGCTGATCACGTGGTAAAAGGCCGGTATGATTGGCCTTTTACCACATCACGTGATCAGCTGTGTCCGTAGGACACAGCGATTACGGAGATCGCCGGGTGCGCGCCCCCCGCAGGAGCGCGTTCTGGGAGGACGTCATACGACGTCCACTCAGAACTGGCCGGCCGCAGTTTAGCCGTCATTCGGCTATCTGCGGTCGGCAACTAGTTAAGAAGAGTAAAACAGAGCGGAAAATCGTACTTAGCATATAATAAATTTTATGTTAAATGCTGCTTTTCCATAACTGGTAAAGCGACACTAAAAATATCCTTTTTCTCCAAACATAATCCATACACATCTGTTACTTAATGGCCCTGCAATCTATACATTTCATTAAATTGTTGCTTACTATGTTTTTATGCGATCTTGTAATGTCCTCTGTGAGCCCCTGAACCTCTCCTATTCCCTTTCACTTCAGTTTGTTTGGAACGAACAGTGCGCGTTATATGTGGTCATGAACATTTCTCTATGCTCACTGCACATCCCATAGTCCATATCGGGAGTGAGTGAGCAAGAGAGGGTGGCTACATTCCTACATATAGTGGGACCATCAAAAACAAATGTAGACACCCTATAACAGGAAGCAAGAGCACAGCAGCAAAAAAAAAAGGAATTTGGAGATTTCGAGGTGGCTGAGAGCAATAGAAGGTGCTTTGTGGGTTAAGAATATAGACTTGAATAGATTTTTTATTTAAGCCAGAGTTTAGTGTCACTGTAAAGTGATTCTAAAGGTTGTAATTAAAAAAAAAAAAAAAACATGTCATACGTACCTGCTCTGTTCAATGGTTTTGCACAGAGCAGAC